ATCACAACTCCCCCCCAGACTCCCCACGTCCTCCTGCTCCCAGCTAGGGATGTTCCTGGTTTGCTGGTTACGGTTAACTGCTAGGGGATGGAGTCCGAACTGAGACCCCGCACCTCCTCCATTAGGATCATGGAAGAGTACAGTCCTTGACCCCGTATCTAATTCTTGGAGGGCACCCCCTCTCCCATCATGCTGGCAGGTGGCCCTACCTGGGGACTGGTGATGGTTACCCACTGCAGCCCATCAGGCCAGCTCCAGCTTCACCTCTGCTTTCCCCGGGCTGCTCCCCAGGGGCCCGCTGCTTGTGGGAACCTGAAGAAGAGAAGGGTGACCCCAGGGACTGCCCCTGCCCAGGCTGCCAGCAGGGCACCAAGCCCCTCCCCAGCTCCTACAGAGCCCTTCTGTCCATTGAGTGATGGGACAGGTGGCTGCCCAGACCAATGTGCCTTTCTGCACAGCTAGAGACCCCATCCCTGCCCCAGGCTCCCTCGCCCCCGGTACCAGGCACTCAGACACCCTGAGGGAAGGCAGAAGCTCATGCAATCTCCAGCAGTCCCCATGGGCACTGCAGGGCTGGCTGGCACAGTGGGTGGGCAGGAGCTGGGCTGCAGCAGGCAAGGCGCACTCACCGAGGACGTTTGAAGCTGCCCTCTTTGATCTGATCACTGGGCAGCCGCACCTGGAAGTTGAGCTCATTGTTGCCGGCACTCACAACGACCTGGCAGCCCTTCTCGGGGAAGTCGGTGATGCAAGGCTCGAACTTGAGATACCCGTAGTACTTCAGGGTCTGCGCCAGGCGGATGAACTACAGGGAGAGCCGGGCACAGGTTCAGTGCCAGGCTCCACCCAGCCTGGCTCCTCTGCTCCCTGATAGAGAACGGCCGGGGGGTAGAAACATCCCCTAAGTCCTCTGCCCGCAGGGGGCCCAATGGCTGCAGCCCCTGAGCTGGCCTGGTGTCCCCCATCAGAACCTACCCGAGATCCCTGGCGCAGCATGAACCCAGCTGTCCGTGCTCACCCACCTCCTTCTTGGAGACCTTCTCCTGCAGGGATTTGAGCTGCCGGTGCTGCTCCTTGGTGACGAGGATCCAGCCGCGTTCTATGTCCGACACCGTCTGCAAAAGAGCAGAGGCTGTGAGGGGCCAGCCAAGGGTCCAAGGGCCTGGCTGGCTCTGTGCATCCTGCAGAGCAGCTGTGTTGGCCTGGCCCCAGGTGGATACACTCACCTGTGCATACAGCAAGTTCAGCCCCACCCGCTGCTCCATCACATCGTCATCATAGGCAGAATCCCAGTAGCTAGGAGAGACAGCAGGACGTCAGAGGGGAGGGTTCCATGCCCAGATCTGTGGAGCAACCCCAGCCCAATCACAGCTTTCCCTGGGTTCCCAACATGGTCACAGCCCTCTGGCCCCTGGGTCTCACCCTTCCCCTAGGTAAGCCACACAGCTTCACCCCCTCCCCCCCCCACTGGCCCTCGGGCCTGCCAGATAGGAGCTCCATGCAGCAAATCCAGCTGGGACAGTCCCTGGGGGAGACTTGTACCATCTTGAGGAGAGCACCCCCCCCACACACGGGCACCCAGCCAGTGCAGGCAGACAGGTGGGTGTGTCCGTGGCCTGGCCTATGGCCCAGACACGTGAAGGTTCCAGCAGAGTCCGTTCTGGGCAGCCAGAGCCCGGCCCAGCTGTAGTAACCCCTGTGGGCCAAGTGCTGTCCCCCATCTGTTGATCTCTTTTGTCAGGCTCCGGGGTGCTCCTGGCTGCCCCGCAGCCCACATTTCCAGAGCTAGGCCAGGTGTTCACGGTGCTGGGCTACAGCAAAGGGCCATGGTGGGCATGGCCAAGCAATGTGGGACAAAGGACAGTACTGGTGATTTATTATGGCCTATGCATGTTCCTCAGTTTACCCTGCGGACCCCTCAAACGTACGGGGCTTCTGGTGAAGATGCTCTAAGCCAACAGGAGAGAGCCCTGGCACCAGCTGAACTGCATGTTAGCGTAGCTGGCTAGGGCAGTAGAACTCCTTCCCTCAGACTCGGGGTGCTTCACACTGCCTCGCAACAGCTGGCGGCTGCCTGTTCCTGGGAACGAGGCACGGTGCGCGGCAGCGCTCCTGAGCCTGGCTGCTCTGCTCCGTGCGCCCCAGCGTAACAGGGAACGAGGCTCGGTGCACAGCAGAGCTCCTGAGCCTGGCTGCTCCGTTCCGTGGGCCCCAGTGTGACAGGGAACGAGGCACGGTGCGCGGCAGCGCTCCTGAGCCTGGCTGCTCTGCTCCGTGCGCCCCAGCGTAACAGGGAACGAGGCTCGGTGCACAGCAGAGCTCCTGAGCCTGGCTGCTCCGTTCCGTGGGCCCCAGTGTGACAGGGAACGAGGCACGGTGCGCGGCAGCGCTCCTGAGCCTGGCTGCTCTGCTCCGTGCGCCCCAGCGTAACAGGGAACGAGGCTCGGTGCACAGCAGAGCTCCTGAGCCTGGCTGCTCCGTTCCGTGGGCCCCAGTGTGACAGGGAACGAGGCACGGTGCGCGGCAGCGCTCCTGAGCCTGGCTGCTCTGCTCCGTGCGCCCCAGCGTAACAGGGAACGAGGCTCGGTGCACAGCAGAGCTCCTGAGCCTGGCTGCTCCGTTCCGTGGGCCCCAGTGTGACAGGGAACGAGGCACGGTGCGCGGCAGCGCTCCTGAGCCTGGCTGCTCTGCTCCGTGCGCCCCAGCGTAACAGGGAACGAGGCTCGGTGCACAGCAGAGCTCCTGAGCCTGGCTGCTCCGTTCCGTGGGCCCCAGTGTGACAGGGAACGAGGCACGGTGCGCGGCAGCGCTCCTGAGCCTGGCTGCTCTGCTCCGTGCGCCCCAGCGTAACAGGGAACGAGGCTCGGTGCACAGCAGAGCTCCTGAGCCTGGCTGCTCCGTTCCGTGGGCCCCAGTGTGACAGGGAACGAGGCACGGTGCGCGGCAGCGCTCCTGAGCCTGGCTGCTCTGCTCCGTGCGCCCCAGCGTAACAGGGAACGAGGCTCGGTGCACAGCAGAGCTCCTGAGCCTGGCTGCTCCGTTCCGTGGGCCCCAGTGTGACAGGGAACGAGGCACGGTGCGCGGCAGCGCTCCTGAGCCTGGCTGCTCTGCTCCGTGCGCCCCAGCGTAACAGGGAACGAGGCTCGGTGCACAGCAGAGCTCCTGAGCCTGGCTGCTCCGTTCCGTGGGCCCCAGTGTGACAGGGAACGAGGCACGGTGCGCGGCAGCGCTCCTGAGCCTGGCTGCTCTGCTCCGTGCGCCCCAGCGTAACAGGGAACGAGGCTCGGTGCACAGCAGAGCTCCTGAGCCTGGCTGCTCCGTTCCGTGGGCCCCAGTGTGACAGGGAACGAGGCACGGTGCGCGGCAGCGCTCCTGAGCCTGGCTGCTCTGCTCCGTGCGCCCCAGCGTAACAGGGAACGAGGCTCGGTGCACAGCAGAGCTCCTGAGCCTGGCTGCTCCGTTCCGTGGGCCCCAGTGTGACAGGGAACGAGGCACGGTGCGCGGCAGCGCTCCTGAGCCTGGCTGCTCTGCTCCGTGCGCCCCAGCGTAACAGGGAACGAGGCTCGGTGCACAGCAGAGCTCCTGAGCCTGGCTGCTCCGTTCCGTGGGCCCCAGTGTGACAGGGAACGAGGCACGGTGCGCGGCAGCGCTCCTGAGCCTGGCTGCTCTGCTCCGTGCGCCCCAGCGTAACAGGGAACGAGGCACGGTGTGTGGCAGAGCTCCTGAGCCTAGCTGCTCTACTCCGTGGGCCCCAGCGTGACAGGGAACGAGGCACGGTGCACGGCAGAGCTCCTGCGCCTGACTGCTCTGCTCCGTGCACCCCAGCGTGACAGAGAACGAGGCTCGGTGCGCGGCAGAGCTCCTGAGCCTGGCTGCTCCGCTCCGTGGGCCCCCGCGTAACAG